CTTAACAGCAACAAAAATGAAAATTGATTTGCAACGAAAAAGACAAGAAAGAAATAAACAAATAATTAAAACATCATTAAACAAATAGATTTTTCGTTAGAAAAAAAGAAAAAAAAAAAACATATTTTTCTTTTAACTTTCATGATTAAAAATTTTTCAAATGATATTATCAATCTAATTTTATTTAATAACCATAGAAATAATAATGATTGTTTTTAAGAGAAAAGAATATGTTTTATATAAAAGAAAAAGAAAAAGAAAAAGAAAAAGAAAAAGAATTGAATCATTAAAATCTTTTTATTTCTCTAGTGACATAAGAAAAATAACGAGGACGTGTATATGATGACGGAAACCACTTACCCATCTTCTATTGGATCGACTAATGTTAGTAACTCTATGCAATGACGATCTATGATAAGCTACATGCAAAGATGACAAGAAACAAGGTTGCATCTTCGTTTTCTTCTTTCGCTCGTTTGTCCAATCGTTGGTAAATCCATTGATCATTATGTACGTCGATTTAATATAAGTATACTGGCAAACTAGAAACATTTTCTTTGTCTCTTCTGTCAATGAATCCAATTGGCAATATGTTACGACAACGATATACAACACGAATAAGCGGACATATGCATATACGCGCTTACAGCGTTGTATATAAAAGAAATAAGCATGTTTCAATATAATGATGCACATACACATACATACACATATATAGGAAAGACGAGTAGTGTATATAGAACAGTATGCACATCCTGCAAGCATGATTGATTTTTCACTTTTCTGTCTGTATGAGGCTCTGTGCACAACCTACCTCTTTCCTTTTACGCCAAACGACGTGAATGTGAGTGTATATATGTGCCATCGGTAGTGTTTTTCCTATACATATACATATATATGCATGCATCTATTCAACATCGCCTCGCTTCGTCGCCAAGTAGATCGTGAAAATATGATAGAGCCAATTAGATCAATACAGCATCGTTATTTCTTTTCTCGAATGATTGCTGCAAATGCGTGCCTGTTTTGCCGAGGAGAAAAAGAGTTTTCATATGGCTTCAAGAAAATGACAGTAATCAAGGAAAAAAGGTGCGGAAAACAAAGAAGTGCATGAATAAGAGATATGCGTCTGCATTCGCCTCTGGCCTACATAACATTCGATTGAGAGACACAGAGAGAAAATTATTATTCATCATTACAATCAATGATAATCAACTAATAATAATATTGAACACAACAAGTTATCCTTAGTAGAATATAAAGAGTAAAATTTTAAATCAATAAAAACTATTTTTCTTTTTCTTTTTTTTTATTCTTATCATAGCGAAAAGATTTGAACAAAATTCTTCTATCTTCTGTATTAATCAATAAAAAATATGATCATTGCATTTTTCATATAACAGATTGAAATATTATTTTATTTATGTACAATTGACAAACAAAAAAGAATTGACATCAGATCAAATAATAGACATTATTTTCATTGGCCTTTTCTTTTTCTTTTCTTTTTTTTAAATTTATGTACAATATAATACAACAACAAAAACAACAAAAGAAATTTTGTTTTTCTTTAACAAATATTTGATTTATCAACGTCAGTCAAAACTTTCTCTTATATTTATTGATCAAATTTGATTTCTTTTATATTAAAGTTAACTTTCACTGTTAAAATAGTGTCATTCTGTCTCATTTATTTGCCAAAGTGGCGCAATGGCTCTGACTTTTTCTTTTTGTAAATATTCTTGAATATAATATATACGCATATATATATATCCTCTAGGGTTATAAAAGGCGTAGAAAAATCATTGGAGAAGTGTCTGCATATGTTTATATTAATATATATGTGACTCGTCTATTTCCTCGATGATGATAATCAAAAGAACTAGCAAGAAAAGAAGAAAATGATATCACCTACTCTTTTTATCTCTTGATAATGACGACAGCAAAATGTCATTGTATGTGTGAATGAGAGTACACAGAAAAGATCTACTCTGATAATTTACACATGTAAAAGAAATAAGAAAAAAAAAACCGATGGTCTCGTCTGGTCTGGATCTTGTTGTTTCATAATAACAAGATATAAAGACATTGGCTTATTCTAATTGATCGGATTAACGATAGTAATGAAGATAATCAAAGAAAAAAATATTGTCTATCAAAGATATTTATTGACCTTCGATTTGTATAAAAAAAAAACAAGAATCTTACTGAGAATATATTTATCACTATTTTGCCCTTTATCACTCTTTCTTCAATTAACTACAATCTTTCTTTGCGGAACGATCAAATATCAGTTATATCATGTTTTTATTTTAACCAGTACACAAACATCAAATAAATTCCTTTTGTAAAAGGTTTTTTTTTTTTATTTTTACTGATTCTTTATTTTTATTCTTTTTGATCTATTCTTTATTAAAAAGAAAGAAAGAAAGAAAGAAAAAAAATTCTTTTTGAAGTAAATCTCCTTTTAACAAAATGAATTTCATTTTGAAAAGCCTTTTTTAATGATGGTTAACAAAAAAGAAAAACTAAATGACATTTAAACCGTTTAATTGACGGTCTTGTTTGAAGAGACGACCTTTGTAATTTAATCCATCTAGCAGGAAAAAAACAACAATTTGATTTACTAGAATTAGTTTTAACCAAAAAAAAAAATTATTCTCAATTAATTAAATATTTATTATAATCAACACACTAAACTGAATCGATATTATAATTATTTTCAGTTATTCATAGAAAATAACACATCTTTTTTTTTTTTTTGCTTTCAATAATTATTTTCTATATTAATATAGAAAAATAGACGGAAAAATATTTCTAATATTTCTTTTTTTGTTTTAAAAACTTACGTTAAATAAATCAACGAACTTCTTCAAAAAGCAAAGACAATAAAAAGTAAAGGTGTTGTTTGTCGTTGTCATCCCATTTCGTAATCATGATGTTATGTTGTGTTGTGTTGTGTTGTGTTCTAGTGCACATTCGAACTAACATAAAGTATACACACATGCACAAAGCCAAATCTTTTTTAATAATGCATAAAGTTTAACTTGTATTATTCATACATAGAAAGAGAGAGAGAAAGAAAGAAAGGTAAATATCTTACACCACGACACACACATTTGCCATCCAGCTGTTAGAAACGTTATGTGCATCAATGCGACCTGATATGATGCACTAGATTGAGTTCAATGTTCTTTCTTTTTCTCTTGTCATGTAAACAGATGTTAAGTACTCTATTGATGGATATGAAAAGCTTTTTTTTCCATGGATTCAATATGTATTATATTCAAATTAATACATATACATATTTATATATATATATATATATATACATATACGAAAAATTAACATTTCATCATAAACTCTTTATTATATTTTAATATTTAAAAAAAAAAAAAAACCTCGTATAAAATGATAATAACCTTGAAATGAATATCTTCATTAGAAAAAAAAAAGAAGATAAATCTGTAAGATAAATTAATATTGTCATAAAAAAACGGCAATATGATAGAGTTGACATAGTATTTTATAGTTAGGGTAAATCCCTAAATGTATGTGTGTATGTATGTACATATGTATGTATGCATGGTAAACAATACACATATATGAAATAAGCAAAAGAAATAAAGCAGAAACTACAATGTTTATTCGATAAGAAAGATATCCTATTATCGAATATATATATTGGACCTAGAAAAACTATATACCTCGATATAACAAAATAATTATTTATTTGTCAATCAGAATATTTCTTTAATAACATATTCAATAAAATAGAAATATAATTTATTCAATTTGTTATATTAGTAAGGATATATTATATATATATATAGTATATGTAAACTTTTTCTAGACAAATACTTTCAAAAGAGAATATTTTCTTTAATATTTGTTTCGTTCTTTTTCTTTTTTTCTTTTTTTTCTCGGTAAATTTAATATTCGATCACTTCATTTTATTCACTTATTTATTTGTTCATTATTAAAAAGCTCTGAAAAATCATCTTGCTTCATCTACTTATGTCACGTCTTTTTTTCTCTTTCGTTATTTTTAAACATATTATATTCAAAAATCATTTTTTCTCCTTGTCAAGATGTTAATATGAGAAAAATAAAATAAAATAAAACTAAAAAGAAATTTTGACAACATAAAGAGAAAAACGAAAAAAAAAGAATTCTACTTTAAATGGAAGCCTGACGAATATTATTTTATTTGATTGATTTAATGATTACCTGACTGCTTTCAATTATTGATCGACGACATATACCAAAGAAAAACAGATCAATATCTCTAATTCTCTTTCACTCTCTTCATCTATGTTTTACTTCGTCTTGCCAAAGCACTTATCGTCAAGAGTATGTATACCATGCAATCGATTCATTGACAATTGATCCTTCCTCCTAATATTAATATCACGCCTTCTTTACATCTACTTTAATATCAAGGATATTCATCATTATATTATCTTAATATCCAATAAATGATTATCTAAATAGACTAAAAATATCTGAATTAATATGAAAATTTTCATTAACGAAATCTCCTTATAATCCACATAAATAATTCTTTAAGAAGAAAATGAAATTGCATCGAAATTCTGACGCATTTAATTATTGACATTATTTAATGGGAAAAGAAAACACACACATACACATACACATACACATACACACATCATGACAAACAACACATTAAAAGACTTTTCTGATCAACAGGTACAATCTGAGCACAACAATTAAAAGAAACAAAATAAAAGAAAAAGAAAATAAGAATATTGACTTAATGCATATTATTCGGAAAGAAAAAAAAAATATTATTCATTATTCTGTTCGATTTTCTCATTAAAATAAATAATTAATTAATTAATTCTTTCTTTCTTTCTTTCTTGTATATTTAAAAACCGGCTTGACAAAATAAAATGGACAAATAAACGAAAAATTTTCATTTGAATAAATAAATGATTGTCAAATGAATTGAATATTTATCACTAATAATGATCATATTAACGATAATTTCGATACATTGGATTTTCAACTGTAAGTGGAATTGTTGTTTGTTCATTATTTCTACCAGGAATATTTGTATAAATTCCATTAGCCATACCAGCAAATGGATCATTTGATTGATAAATACCACCAGTATTATCTTTTACTGTTGATCCATATGATGGAAATCGATCATTATCATTACCTATTTATTCATTTATTTATTTATTTATATTATTTTTTATTTTATAAGTTAAAAAAATATTTTTTATTTTCATACGTTTATTTGTTTCATTAGATGCCCATGGTGATGTATCATTATTAGTTGGTGGTGGTGGTGTTGATGATGGTAGTGGTGGTTCAGCCCATACTTGTTTTTCACCTGATGCAAATATTCCATAAAATATAACACCACCAAAATGTATTAATGAAGCTATAAGAAATACATGTGCCCATTCATCACGTTTCTTTAAAAATAAATAAAATAAAATAAAATAAACGAACAAGATAAATAAATTTACTCCTTGTTTAGTTAAAAATTCAACAGCAACAGGACATAACATTCCAGCTAATGTTCCAACACCATTTGAAATTCCCATAAGAATACTTGCATAACGTGGAGCTATATCAAGATGATTTACATTAAATCCTAAACAAATATAAATAAGAAAATTAATCATTGATTTATGTTTTTATTTTAAACCTGATATAGCAAAACCACTAAATCCAACAGCAATAGTCAATGCTCCAATAGCTAATCGAGGATTTTTTGCATAAGCAACAAGAAGAAGAAAAACAGCTTCCATTCCAAAACCTCCACAATTCATTATTTTACGAACAGTTGTTGTTGATAAATAATTTGCACGTAAATAATCAGCTAATTTACCGGCAAATGGTACAATACATGACATTGTTAAATGTGGTAATGCTGCCAAAAATGGATCCTATTATATTTTTTGGTTAGTTTTTTTTTTTTTTTTTTTTTAAATTATAAAAAGAAAATCAAACGAACTTTTCCAACGTTATAATCAAGTGCTTCTCGAAAATATTCAGCTTGAGAATTAATTAGCAAATAAAATGACCATGAACGACAAAAATTAGCCACTATTATTGCCCATACAGGCATTGATGTAAAAAATGAACGCCATGGAGGTTTTACCCATGTCTACAAAATTAATATTTATCGATTTTTTTTTTTTTTTCATTTTTCTTTTACTTTATTAGCAATTGAACTCGATTCTCCAATACTTTCTTCAATATAAATTCGTTCACTTTCACTTATTTTCGGATGAATTGCAGGTCGTTCATATGATAAATGCCACCAACAGATAGACCATATCATACCAATTATACCTTTTGGTTTTTTTTAAATTCAAATATATTTATTAAATATAAAATAATAAAATTTACCGTAAAAATAAAAAGCAACTTGCCAATTAAAATACTCAGTTAGAATACCCGATAAAGGAATTCCAAGAACGGCACCCGCATACGAACCTTAAATTAAATTAATATAAGATTTTTTAAATTTAAAATATTATTTAGTTAACCAGTAAATGAGATCGTTGCTAATGTACTTCGTTCTAAAGGTGGTGCCCACCAACGCCAAATACCATGTGCTGCAGGATAAGTAACACCCTTAACAAAAAAAGAAATGAAATAAAATTTCTATTTAAATTCATTAATTTACTTCAACAAGTCCTTGTAAAATTCTAAGAACCATTACGAAACCATAATGAATTTTAGCAGCAAATGGAATAAAAAGATTAAGAAATGATGATATACCAAGTGCAAATCCAAATACACTAAGAAATACAAAAAAAAAGAAATAAATAAATAAACAATTAAAATTTTGTTTGAAAAAAAAAATATTTCTAACTGATTAGCTGGAAATTTTGCTGCTAAATATCCTCCAGGTACTTGAGTAACAAGATAACCCCAAAAGAAAGAACTATCGACAATACCAATAATGCCAGGTGTCCAATCAAATTGAGCAAGCTAAATTTTTTAATTAGAAATTTTTTTTTTTTTTTGTTTAATAATAATAAAATAAATTATTTTACTTTAATTAATCTAATTGTTCCATTAGATAATTTTTCTGTTTCATTATGTGTCATAGCAACAACACTAACACCCATATTACATCTAATACCAAATGATATAAGAAAACCTAATGAACTAAGAAATGCTGTTTGATATCGTATAGGCATATTTTTAATTGAATTAACAAAAGGAATACGGGAATAACCATATGATCCATAATTTGATGATGTTGCTGGAATTGTTTTTATACGTTGACGTTGGTTTCCATCGTCATCTTCAACTAATTCAGCATAATCTGATTGAGGATCATGAGTAGGACGTTTAAAAACTCTTTAAAAAAAAAAACATATAAAAATTATTTTATTATATATTTTATATTAATTTCAAATATTATTTTCTTTTTCTTTTCTTATATAATTAATATGATTGTTCTATGTTATTGACAAGTCATTTTTATTGATATTATTTCGTATTTTATTGTCTCTTGAGATGTTATGAACATAGGCAAATCTATTCTTTTTATTGTTCAGAACTGTCAGTATGGAACGATCCTTTTTATTTCTATAGTTATTATTATTATTATTCATATATATTTCAATATCCCTATTCGTTATCTATTTTTCTACAAAGAAAAAATGATTTACTTCATGTGTCAGAATAAAACAATTCATTATTAAAATGTTCGTTATATAGAAATGCTATCACTTTTTCAACATGGAAATTTAACTACTGTTAAAATATATTCAATTTAATAGAATAAGAATTCATTTTCTCTCTTTATTTTTACACTTGTTTTATCTACAAAGAAATGTTTAGAAAAAGAAATTATCATTTATTATTATATTTAATCACATTTAATTCATTGTTCAAACGAAAATAAATATATCTAGAATAAACTTCGGTTTTTTTTTTTTTTTTTTTTCTTTAATAATTTTCTACTTTTACGCCTAATTAAAACAAAAAAACAATGACAACACTTATCTGAAGTAGGAAATCAATGTTATTATAAAGATTTCTAAAGGATGTATAAGAATGTTTTTAATATAAATAATGTTTTTTATATATATATTTGCATAGACAAATAATAAAATGTTGAAATAATTTGTTTTTTTGAAAATATATATATATACACGTATATATTATGAAAATTGTTTATATTATTTATAATAAAAAGAATCTTATTGATTTATTAAAATTAATTTTGAGAGGATTATAAATAAAATTCCATATGATATTATTATATTTCATTTTTATACATTAAATTAAATATTCTATTTAAATTTTTCGATAATAAAATTTTCATTGAAATATTTTAGTGATTAATTAAAGTATTTCATTTAAATTTTGTTTTAACGATCTTCAAAAAAAAGAAATTAAATAAATAAAGAATATTATTTATTATTTAATTAATTTCTTTGTAATAAAAATAAACATAGATAATAAATAAAATGATAAATATGTATTATTCATTTTTATTTTATAAATATCTATTAGAACAAGTAAAAATGATTTTTTGATAAATTTGTTTCAATAAACTTAACAATATCTCTTATGAAAAAAAGAAAATATATATATATATATTTAAGTTTTTCATTTTCTTTTTATGTGATGATATTTAGAAAATAAATTAGTTAACAACATTTTAATAGATATTGGTGTTAATAAAAAAGAACAAAGGTTGAAAAAGGTGATTCTAATTCAATTATATATAATTATGTTTAAACACATAGAATAGTCAAGTGAAAATTTGACGTCATAAAAAGAAAAGTTTTCTTATAAAGAGATATTTTATTTCATGTTATATTTGTGTGTGTGTGTGTGTGTGTGCATTTTTCATGCTTATTGATTTCCCTAATGAAATGAAATGAGTATTTTCTTTTTTGTTCTTTCTGTTTGTCAGTATGTTATCTATGGATTTCTCTTTAGAAAAATCATTCATTTACAAACGGAAATACAAAAATCTATTGAATTTTTCTTTCATTTTCTAGTTGAAATCATTTTCTTTTTTTCATTTCCTTGATGATATTAGTTATGTTATATACAAACTTATAACATAACTTGCCAATTAAACAATCATCAACAAAACTATTTAACAAGAAAACAAAAACCGATATGAAATATTTTCATTATCTATTCTAAATTAATATAAAACGATATATGATCGGTCTATCATTTTTCAATAGATTGAGAGTTTTACTCACTGCATTATATTCATTCTCAGCTTTGATGATAGATTTTCCATCGGTTTTGTTGACTTTTATTTTAATTAACCATTGTTACTATATTTGTTGTTGTTGTCCTTAGTTTTGGAATTTGAGCAGATCAACCATTTTTCCTTTTCTTTTTCTTTATATTCTTTCTACACTTTGTTACTGGAAACATATAAAAAGTGAGAGAGAGAGAGAGAGAGAGAGTGAGACGGAAAGAAATAGCAACGTAATCCGAAATAGAGAGAGAGAAAGAACTCATATTGTTTTGAAACATTCTTTTATATTAAAGAAGGATTGTTGATAATGACGGTCGTAATGAAAAAAATGACAAAAGCCACGGATAATTTGTCGGCTGACGTAAACACATAAAGCGACGGTGTTCATCATCATCATCAGAAGTAAATGAGCCTCAAATATTGATATAGCCATCTTTAAAAAAGTACTCAAGCAAACAGAAAAAAAAGACTCCAGAGAAAAAAAGAAAGACTCATTAAAAAAAAAAACGAGAATTCAATGGGTCAAAAAATAGTAGTTGGTTACTTAAGAGTGATCAAACGCTTAAAATACGGAAAAAATCTTAATGTTTAGTTTTGTTTAAGAAGGAAAATTAAACTGCTGCTAAAAGAAAAAAAATACAACTTTTAAATGTTTGAATAATGATTAATAATGAATAAATAATATCTGATAAATGTAAAAGAAATATTTTTTACAAAAAAAAAAATAAAAATAAAACTAAAATGAATTAATTAATTAAAATTGATCTTACCCAATGATTTTGTACATGAAATTTTGTGTTGTTTCTCGTACAACACTGAACAATTGTGATGTCAATTCCATTGTGATTCGTCGTTGATAATGATCAATCACTTAGATTTAATTCATGTTTCACACACATACACGTGCGTGTTTTTTGGTCTCGTTCAATATTGATTATGGTGAAACAAGTAAAAAACGAGATGATGATGAACGAGAAAGTAACGTTTTTTTTTTTTAATAATGTGTTCATGCAGCCTAAGGAAAACGGTCGACGTTGGCGGGCAGTATGCGAGAGAGAAAAGAAATTTCTAACTAATTGATTTCGTCGAGTGACTTATATGTGTACGTCTTGTAGTTGATATAAATAATGAAGTCTTCGAGTTGTACCGCCTCTGAAACAGAACATCATCAAAAACGACAAAGCTAAACAACAGGTGACATTAAGCTTAATCTTCATACACAATTCTACGTATGTAATTAACACTTAAACAAGCTCATATTCAAATCTTCTTTGCACAGGAAATTATCGAACAATGTTCACTGCTTTAGGTTAGAAATACTACGAAGGTTTTTCTCTCGTCGGATTTTTCTCAAAAAAAAAAAAAGAAGAAAATCCACCAATAAGCATCAACTCATTTTATTTCGCACGTATATTAATCAATCATGTGAACATGCGGGAAACAGACCGATCGACAAAGAACATCTGTATTGAAACATGAATTATATTGAATAAAACTTCGAATGTTTTACTTATACTCTCAATAAGAAAAAAAAAATACTTCAGATACTTTCTTCATTTCTATTCTACGAGAAAAACAAAGAACAAAATTTGATTAACTTGTCAAGTTTACTAAAAAAGATTTGAAAATATTTTTTATTAATCGAATAAATTTTTTTTTTTCACTATATCATTTATTTATACTTTTCTATGAATTATTATTATTAATTTAGAAGTTTTAAACATTTCGTTCATAATGAAAATCGTCAATTTGAAACTCTCAAATAGATAATTTATTCTAATATTATTTTTAATAAAAGTTTTATTTGATTTATTTTAAAAATTATTCAATAATTAACAATGATAAGAAAGATAAACATTTATGTATATTCTTAGTTACTTTTCTAGTGAAAAGTTTTTTTTTCCTAGAAAAATATTTCATTATAATCTTAGATGTTTGTTATAATATACTTTTCGTAGTCGAACAATAGATTGTTGAAAAAATATCTCTAAATTGATATGAAAATTTGTGATAGTCTTCGAAATGGTTATGAATATCTCACCTGATAAAGCTAATCCAAGTAAAGGATTTAGTAAAATTAAATTTCTATTGAGAAAAGGTCTATTGTCATCATTTGTCGATGGTGAAGCCTTCTCTGAATAAACTTCCCCCTCCTCTTTTTTTTTTGCTCTTTTTTTTTTTTTTTTCTTCTTTCAATTCAATCATGTCACTGTCGATTAAGAAGCTCTCCTGCTCTCTTTCGCCGCCCATTTCCGCTTGTTTTTAGTAGTTATTGAACACACGAACACAATAACAAAAGCAGCTAAATGAAGAGTGACAAGCGTTACCAGTTATGACTATGGTGAACAACAGTATAGCTTAGTCAATATTACACTTAAAGTGGATAGAAGAGGAGGTTGCTGCTGGGAATAACTATGACGAGAGTAATGCTTGATTTCATGCTAAGCAAAAAAGGCTGTGTATTTTCTATCTTTCTTTTTCTCTCTTTCTCTGCATCTTTTTCTTTCTATTTTTGTTTGAATATTGACAACACGAAATGAACTTGGAGAAAAACGAACCAAATCAATTTTCACATCACTTTTCATCAACTTAATCAAATTCAATGAGATGTTAATATTTAGTAACAAGAGTAAAAACAGTCATCTATTGGCAACGATATATATTTATAAAAATTGAACTATAATTAAGCCAGGATTTTCTTCTTATCATCATAAAAACTGACTTGTTTTAGGTTAGAACAATTGGACTATGTGCGGAAATCCTTATTTGCAACGATGTCTATCTTTCTCTCTCTCTCTCTCTCTCTCTCTTTAAATAATAATATCCGTTTGCTCTTCTTTATTTTCTATTGATTATTAGTCTTTGTGATCATGATTGATTTAGACAGTGTCTCTAGATTATTTATAAAGTATAGATTTTGCAATTTTTCGCCCTCACGATTATTCTTGAATATCAAATAAGATATAGAATATTGGCAATCATTACATCAAGAATATTCTTTTTCAATACTAAAAATAATTATTTTATAGAAGAAAAAAAAAATTAAAAACTAAAGATAGATGTATTACTGATTTTAAATTGAAATGTCAGTGTGTGAGTGACACGACAACATAGCGCGAAAGCAATTACTATTGTTGCATGTCTTTCCCATCGTAGTTGTGAGCTTTAGGGGTTCTTTTCCATATCAGTTGACATATTAAAATCTTTCATATTGTTAAGCATTGTCGTATGAACATCCGTCTTAAACAGACTTTTTATATCAAATTCTTTTAATCATCTTAATTGGAAAGTTAAATATTCAACAACAAACTATCAATTCTTAGACATTTAATCTTAAAAATAAATTATCTTATAAAAAAGCAAAAAAAATGAATGAATAAATATCAGTTAATGGTATATCGGTCTGTAGTCAGTTATTCGACTATCTTGTTTATTTTGTTGCTTTTACTATATAAAATAATTCAAAAATTTTATTGGTTCGTAATAATAATTGTTAAAAAGTATAGAATAAAATAACATAAATAGATGAAAATGTAAAATAGTTCTCTCGAAAAATGAAACCAATCCGAAAAAACAAATACTTTAGCATTGCCGTGGATTTCTGATTAGTCAAGCTAATACAGTCCGACTTACTCAGATCGATGCTAATGTCGATTGTCAAGAATCTAGACAATCTACATCTCTTATTTTATCAATGATATTACTCTACAATAACAAAGAAACGTTATTAATGAAGCTGAAAAAATGATTACTAATCTTATTTAATTGGTATAATCTTAGACAATACGATTTGAATATTATATCCAGTTTTTTATTTTTTTTATTTTAATAACTATTAAAATTCAAGTAAATAATTTATATTGGTAAACAAAAAACAAGAAATATATACTAAATTGATTAATTTCCCACGTAAATAACTTTTGTTTTTTTTTTTTCGTTCAATAATAATAACATAGAATATATCATGAATATACTTATCATTTGATTTTTTTTTTCTAAGAAAAATTCTATTTTATGATTCATTTTCATAATAAACTATTAAATTGTTCGATTGATTAAAAAAAATGTGATGTGACAGAAGTTAAATTAATTATGTGAATTTTTTTTAGTCGAAAGTGATTTTAATCATTTTTGATGAATTTGAAGTTACTTGCACGACTAAATCTATGAATTATATTATGAATATATTTGTACAATATTAAATAGTCAGATATTTTACAGTTATTCATAATGAAAGCTAACAATTGAATTGAATTCATCTTGTATAATAATTTTATCGATTTATTATATGATTTTATCATTTTATTTCGAGCCTTTTACAAATCTTTTAATATATATTCAATTTCATAAATAGAATAAAGACAAACTATTAATAGTTTACTTTTCAAACGCTATTTAACCGATTATTTTATAAGATTGAATTGAATTTTCAGGTCATTTCTTTTTTGTAGTAACTCTCCGTTGACAAGCAACTATATGAAATATCTTAATCGTAGTTCTTCTCTCTTTTTTTTTACCATTTTTGGTACTTGAACAAAAAACAACTGATCGACTTACAACTTATAATACATATAGAGTATCTCGAATAAGATAATAGATGTTCGAGAAAAACAATTGTAAACAAGGTTTTTGTGTGTTTTGTATTTTTGGTTTATCCATTATTTCTAATAGAACAACATCTTATCATATTATAGTGTCTATCAAACTTTGTACAATTGGAATAAAAAATTTCTATAGATACCTTTTGTTATGTTCTACTTTTCTATAAGGGCAAAATAGGCTTGTTTAATGTAGAACATAATCTTTTTTGTTTATTTCAAAATTAACTATTATAACTAACATCACGATCGATCATATACATATATATTATTGAGAGAGAGAAAAAAAAAAGCAGAATAATAGAAATATAAAGAGTAAATGAATCTAACTATAAATACATAGATATCGGGTGATAACAGCTTTGAATATACATGAGAAGTATTTTTGAATTTATTCAAAAAATCTCGCTTTCTTTCTTACGAGAGAAATACATTAAGATACAAATCGGAAACTAGAATGTTGACGTTCGAAAACTCGTAAACCTGAATGAGAAAAACCATTAACAAAAACGACCGATTCTATCGCTGGAGAAAAATTTCAGTTCAAATCGAAACCGTAATGTGGCTAGATAGGATTTTATGAAAGACCAAGATTTCCCCAAAACAAAAACACGAAATTTTTCTTTTTACAATTTTTTCTCTGGTTGCACATGTTTCCTTATTTTAGATGATCTATCCATGATAAATATTTCAGACAAATCGATAACACTGTATTCAAAAATCATGAATGGTCTAAAATAAGAGAAGAGATATATCATTAAACCACAAGAAAAGAGAATAGAAATAGGTACGAATAAAACAAATATTAACAAATTTTTCATTATAATTGAAGATAAATTTTTAACGAGATTTTTCATTGTTTTTCTTGGCGTCAAAAGCTGAAATTTTTCTCATATATTTATATATAAATATCAAAGGAAGGTTTTTAATTTTACAGAATTTTAGCTTTCTAGGTATAACTAGTGTTAAAATACGTGAACAAGATAAAAATTCATGAATTTTCATCATTGATTTTTGTGATATGTTTATTTGTTGATCATTTTATATTTATAAACATCTAATGAAAAGAAACTTAATGAGAGAAATATCTTCAAAAACGTTATTTATAATGAAATCGAATGTATCTGAACATATTTTCCATCATTTTCTGTGACCAATTATAATTAATAAGGTATTTCGTTTAAAAAATCTTCTCCATTGTTATGCAGTTTCTTTGTCTGATTGTAATGATATATGAAACATTTTATTGTTCATTACATTCTACACATATTAACTTCTTCATATGTCAACAAATTTACCATTGTTATCTACTGATTCTATACGTTCAATGAAAAAATGACCTTACGAACTGTCGAATCAATACTTCGTCTTGTTGTTGTTTTTAGAGAATTTAAATTTAATACAAACTATTTACAAATTTTTCTCTTTTTGTAACTAGTAAACACTTAAGATAAAATTTGTCATGAAATCTAAAAGATTTATATATAAATGCAAATACCTGTATAGTTAAAATATTAGAAAAATCTACGTAGTATGACAATAAATCTATGTTAATCTTATTCATGCATTTCATCATCAAAGGAGGAGTGGCGCTAAGGCCACTTTTCGGCCCAAAACATTTTCAAGAAATAACTATATGACAGTTGCCAGGTCCATATGGGCTACCAATATCACAGGGTAATTTTGTTTGAAATTACTTTCGGGTTTGGCACTCCCGTATCCCCTAGGGGAATTCGAAAAAGTTTTTTTTTCAAAATTTAGTTATTTAAAGTTATTGCAAATAGCAAGTCAACTATGCTGATTACAAATATTCTCATCGTAAATCTCCAGAATGTATACTGGCTTGAATTTCGAGTTTAACGTATACTCTGATTTTTGGGTCCAAATCTGGCTTTTGGCCATCCTATCGCATGGTTTAACTTGTAAAACGTCTGAAACAGTTTCTAGGATATGTTATTTGTTAAGTGTAATCAGAATCTCGACGAATAAAAACTAATTAGAAATAATTAGCATTTCGTAACTGCGAAACACCTTCCGAATTAGGCTAAGGTAAACGAAGTGGACCCTATTAAAGTACTCTTCTAGTACAGTGAACAGTTTTGAACAGAAATGAGAGTATAGAATTTCAATGTAACTTTTCCAGCTCTATCTGAATCTGCCGTTAAACTGGGAAAAAAACATTGGCTAGCAAAAGAAATCTCAAGAATACTGTACTGGAGACAAGATTTTATGCTTTTTTGAGTAGTATCGAGTAAATTTCGATTAGAAAAGTATCATTTGGATGAAAACCAATATAATATTCCGAATCAGCCTTCAAAACTAAGTAGATCTACGTGAATTTCATATCCTTCTGCGAACTTTTGTTTTTCGTCGAAAAATTCACCCCTGGTACCCCCTCAGGAATCAGTCAAAAATGAACTTCATTAAAATGCTGTTTTTCTTGTATAGTAATTTGCCAATTTGAGTTATACTCCGATTTTAAAGCCTTAGAAACTGTTCGCCGCTGCTTAAATCAATTTTCGATCAAGTTCATTTTTGACTGATTCCTGAGGGGGTACCAGGGGTGAATTTTTCGACGAAAAACAAGAGTTCGCAGAAGGATATGAAATTCACGTAGATCTACTTAGTTTTGAAGGCTGATTCGGAATATTATATTGGTTTTCATCCAAATGATACTTTTCTAATCGAAATTTACTCGATACTACTCAAAAAAGCATAAAATCTTGTCTCCAGTACAGTATTCTTGAGATTTCTTTTGCTAGCCAATGTTTTTTTCCCAGTTTAACGGCAGATTCAGATAGAGCTGGAAAAGTTACATTGAAATTCTATACTCTCATTTCTGTTCAAAACTGTTCACTGTACTAGAAGAGTACTTTAATAGGGTCCACTTCGTTTACCTTAGCCTAATTCGGAAGGTGTTTCGCAGTTACGAAATGCTAATTATTTCTAATTAGTTTTTATTCGTCGAGATTCTGATTACACTTAATAAATAACATATTCTAGGAACTGTTTCAGATGTTTTACAGGTTAAACCATGCGATAGGATGGCCAAAAGCCAGATTTGGACCCAAAAATCAGAGTATACGTTAAACTCGAAATTCAAGCCAGTATACATTCTGGAGATTTACGATGAGAATATTTGTAATCAGCATAGTTGACTTGCTATTTGCAATAACTTTAAATAACTAAATTTTGAAAAAAAAACTTTTTCGAATTCCCCTAGGGGATACGGGAGTGCCAAACCCGAAAGTAATTTCAAACAAAATTACCCTGTGATATTGGTAGCCCATATGGACCTGGTAACTGTCATATAGTTATCTCTTGAAAATATTTTGGGCCGAAAAGTGGCCTTAGCGCCACTCCTTCTTTAGATAGAGAAGTGAAATTTTGCAACATTAAAGACCTTGATTAGATATTTATATGAGAAATATTATAGTTTTCTACGTCAAGATAAACTATGAAAAATGTTGTTGATACTTTTTATTCTCATTTATAATAGGATATCGTTAATGTGTAAATTACTCATAAGAAATGTTCTATATTCATTGGTTTACAGTTGAAGAAATTTACAAAAAATCTGACGACAATCTTTTTACACTCTAATGTATACAAATATCTATATCATAAGATAGATTTTACATTATCATTGTTTTTCTTGTAATATAATATAAAGAAATAATGCGACATAATCTTTTTTTATTATTATTGTTTTTATTGACTTGTGTCTTTATATAATAAACGTGATGTGTGAGTGTAACACTTATCTTCAGGTACACTTGCACAATTTGAAAAAATAATTCTTCACTACTTTTCTCAATAATCCAACAATTATCAAAGATTGAGAAATAAAAGTGATTAAAAAATTCGAGTAAAATCTTTCACATTTTTTGAAAAAAAAAAATTTATGTTTGAAATGATCAAATATTATTTCAATTAAATTTTGTCTTTTAGATTCATAGTCTAACATATATCATACTTTTCGAGATCATGTACAAGACATTAAAGCGCAACACGAGATATTCATTGTGACATATTGTTTTCCGACAAACGTGACATATTTTGAATATGTGACTTTTTAATCTATCCTTGAGTATAACGAAAATTTTTGTTAGAATAAACGAATAATTAGTGCTGTTCTAGTTTAATTGGCAATTATTAATATGTATTTTTCAAAAATTGAAGAAGGAAAAGATGTTAAATTGTAGGCCATTCATATCGATCAAATCTATTTGGGATAGTTCATTTTCAAATGTCAATCAATGACTAATCAAGAAATAATCGAATTTAGAATAAAATATGTGCGAAAATATGCGTAAATTCAATGTACTTAACTAAAGTCGTTAATATGAATTTGCAATCACTAAACAAAAGAATGAATGAATGAATGGTTAGTAAATTGCTCGTGAAACATTTCAATTGCGGCATATTTTATTATAATGTGTAGGTAGGATAGAATTGATGAAGCATATTCATATATTCAATCTTCTTGTAATAACTAGAATAATAAAATAATAAATAATATATTTATCTTTATCTTTATCTAATATTTTTATTTAAAAAGAAATTCAATTGAAAAAGAACATATTGATATTATTTATATAATAATCGATGTATAATGACATCTTTTGATAAATATTAAATTATAGAAAATATATTTGTTATTCTAATAATGATATAATAATAGTAATTAATTATTGAAATGTTAATCTGATAAATAATTTCAATATAAATGTATATAATTAAATAAATAGAGAACCATATTCCTCTTTTTTCTATTGGCCTCCTCAATCTACCCTGTAGATTAAATAAATAGGGTAGTAGTCCGTAAAAGGAAGGACAATATTTGTTGCTTGTTTTCATATAACTTTGTCGTTCATTTTTTTCTTTTTTTTGTCTTCCTCCAATTAATTGTTTTATTTGAATTAAATAATTTTATTTTTAGATGTTTATCTCTGATTAATTGATTAATTGATTATATTATTATTGACTTTGATCATTGAAATATATTCAACAAGAAAAAGTTTAAATAAAAATGCCATCTGTAACAGATCTTCAACAACAATCGTCGAAAATCTCATCAAATAATAATGGAAAATCAACACCACCACCACAGCAGCAGCAGCAACAACAACAACAACAACAAATGAGTTCAGCATCAACGGGAAATACAACTGATACAATGAATGCCGATCCAATAACTCAAGTTATTCTTATGTTGGAAAAAAAACAACGAAATTTAGGCAAAAGAAAAGTATATTCATTTTTTAAAAAAATCTTTGTTTTTTTTCTTTAATAATTATTTATCTCATAGGAAAAACTTGAAAGTTATGAAGAAGAAGCAAAAACTGGTAAAGAACTTAATAAAGATCAAAAAGTAAAGTTTTTTTTTTTTTTTTTTTTGTAAAACTTTTCAAAGTATTTTTCTAAAATAAATTCTTTTAGGAAGCATTGGCTAAATATGGTGAAGTTCTTGGTCAAATTGAATGTGTCAAAGATATTTCTGAACAATTAAAAAAAATACAAACTGAGGTTTTTTTTTTTTTTTTTATTTTTTTATTTTTTCTAAAATAAAATTTCTTTCAGTCAGCTAGAAATCAAAAACGTCTTGCTAAACAAGCAGCTGAAGAAAAACGATTATTAGTAGCTCAACGTCTTCGTGAATATGCTCAGCTTCGATATTTACTTGACCATCGACCATCAGTAAACAAATTTCTTTTTTTTTTTTTTTTTATTAATAAATATTTTTATTTTAACTTATTTTAGTCATTAAAACCCGACGAATCATCATTATTAGATGAACTTGTTCGTGTTGTTATTCCATCTGATGTATCATTAAATACAATAACTCGTTCTATTGATACCGTATTATCTATTTATCAAGGTGGTTCATCATCAATTAAACATTTAACTGGTCGAACATCACAAGAATCACGAGATATACTTGAACAATTAATTAAACAATGTGAAGTATCATCATCATCATCATCATCTTCAATTGATACATCAACAAATCAACAAACACAAATAAATGAAATAGTCAAACAAACACCTATTATTATTGAAACTCCATCAATAACATCTGATTCTGTACTTTCTCAACGAGAACAAAATAAACAACAAAATGATAATAATGATGGTAAAATTTTATTTTTATTATTAAATTAATTAAAAAGAAAAAAAAATTTTATTTTAAGTAATTGGTTCATCATTAAGTCATACTCATTTAATTCAAACAAATTCAAATGAATATCCATTACAATTTGACACACGAAATCAAAATATTCCACTTCAACAAATAATTGAAGATAGTCCGTTTTTTTCTCTTGATTCAACAACAACAAATATTAATCAACAAGTTAAACAAGAATTATCAAATAATCAAGATAATACTCAAATTCAAACAAATGATTCGAAACAAAATTTAACACCATTTACAATTATTAATTCAAGTATTTTAAGATTTTTCTTTTTACTTTATTTTCTACTATTGATTTATTTAATTATTTAGATTTGACTGGTCAAACTGCTTCTCAAGGATATACAGTAGAAGAGTTTTTTTTTTTTTATTTATATCATAAAATATTTGACTTGATTTTAGCAAACAACAATAGCAAGTCAACAACAACAACAACAAGGAAATAATTATGATCAAGTAAATTTATTTATTTTCATAAAAATAATTATTTTTTGTTTCTTAAAGGAAAGTTCATCAAATGTTGTTAGTTCAAGTAATGTTCCAACTGATGAACAACAATCAGAAGGACAATGGCAACATGCTCGTGGTAATATACATCGTGGTGGACAATTTAATGGAAGTCAAAATAGAAATTATCATCGAGGTCTACAACATAATTACAATCAACAACATTGGCGAGGACCACGTTAGTTTTTATTTTTATTTTAAATATCATTTTAATTGAAAATTGAAATTAAAACAACAAAAATAATTTCATCTTATATATCTTCTTCATATGCTAACATATCAAAATTACTTTGAAAATCATATTCGAACTATTTTCACTTATTAAACAATTCTATTATATTTATTACAGAGAATATATATTTGTTTTTTTAATTGATCAGAAAATCTCTCAATCTGATTAAAAACCTCTAATAGTTTATTTTCTTATTCATTCTTTAATTAAAATTATTTTATTAAGTTTATCATCTAATGTAAAATATATTATCAATACTTTTATTTCGTTATTTCGATCTGAAATATTTCTCCTAAAAATATTTTATGATTTCTATCATACATTAAAATTTTCATCTAGAACGAAGCTGTCATTATTAAATGGCTACGTTGTTCGACACCTATTCACAAAGTATTTAATGCAAATCTCGCAAATTATCAGTGATCGAATCACTCATCCGATAGTATACGATTAGTAAGTCTATATAGAAGATCAAGAAATTGAGTGCAACAACTCGGCATGAGACTAGTCTTCTCTTCTTCCGTTCACTTGCAATGAGTGGGTTTAAAGATTTGAAAAAAAAAAATTAGTTTTCTAGTAAATCTGTTATTATAGAACGAATATATTCATTCTAAGTGAAAGTTTTCGTCTATGATTAAGATTATAGGATTTTTTTAATGGAAAATATTTCAGATCGAAATAACGACATTAGATAATTGATAATACATTTTATACTAAATCATACATTTACTATAATTTTCATAAATCGACAACATAGGAATAATTTGGTTGAGAGTATCAAAGTATGATTTGATCGGGCACCAAAATTTTGTAACTAACGAACTCTATTCAATAATATCTATCTAATGAGACAAGTCTTCTATGAAAAGCTTTTTATTATTTCGAGAAATTATTTTATCAATCGTGAGAATTATTCTCGGAGAGAAATATATATATAATTGACAAAAAATATTATGTCTTTTGTCTCTATTTCGAAGTTACTGCATAAATGTAACTATTATATTCTAATGTATATTCTCTTTGAATTCAGGCGGTGGTCATTACGATGGTTCATATGGCGGTGGACAACGACATTATAATGAAAACAATCGTGGCGGAGGTGGACACCGGGGTGGACCTAATCCGAATTACCGAGGTAAGACATTACCATTCAATTGTTCATATATATATATATATATAATTGTTTTAGGTAATCGTGGTGGTAATTATCGCGGTGGTAATCGAGGTGGTAATGCTAATGGATACCAAAAATCGTCTCAACATCAACAAAATACCGAACAACAACAACAACAACAAGTTCGTTCAGCTCCACCAAGTCAACAATAAAAATCGTTTATTGAAAAGAACAGCCCGTTTTGTTTTCTGCACCCCCGTTGAATGAACTTTTATTCACGATGTTTTCTCGTTTTTTGTGTTTAACTCGTTAAAACGTTTTCGACAGATGATGAAAGATGCTTTTTTT